GGATGCCCCTGACTCCCTTCAATTTTCAGAGGGAGTGTGGTTCCACCAATGGCTTGAATTCATACTTCTAGTCTCCAGAACTGTGAGACAGGTTCTGCTGTTTGAACAGTTCAGTCTGTAGTACTTTGATATGGCAGTCCCTTGAAACTAGGACAAGAACCAGTTTGTTTGGTATTTCAAAGTTATGTGTAGTGACTTTTCCTCCCAGGCCAGAAAAAAAAAAGAAAAAGTTAATAGATAATACATTTTTAGAAGAAACTAGTAAGACTAGCTTTTCTCCTCCATTCTCAATGACTATACCCTAAAATCGTCATATACTTTAACAGTTTTGTTATTTTTTTCTTCTTTATTCACAATACCTTTTCCAGCAATACAGAGAACTAAATAATACACTAGAATTCATTAACAAAATGAAAACAAAACTTAGTAGTGAATCGAGATTTAAATGAACTATACACATCCAAAATAGTACCTCTCAATGATGAGGTTAACTTTTCTACAACATACTTTAAAACTTGGGACATAAATTCATCTTTTGCCCACAGTATGGGCATAAACTCATCTTTTGCTCACAGTATGGGAGGGGATAATAAATAAGTTGACTTTTTGCCCCCATTCACATCTTAGAAGTTGTTACAATTCTTAGTTTATCATGGGATTCTAATATGGTAAATCACAGAAGTTTGTGATTAAAAGAAAAAGAAAACCTTTTGTGAGTGCTAGCATATTGCAGTATGAAGCGGCTAAGACTCAATTTTGTGCAAACAGAATATCTAATGCCTGGCTTTATCTTTAGAGAATAGCTGTTATCTTGCAGTGTACATGGTTGAGGCAGAGTGGGGAGACAGTCAAGAAGTCCATCACTTGTGGTGCCATTGCCTCCTCCTGCACTATAGGTTCACATGCTTCCCAAATCTGGGGCACTGTCAGCTTGATTTATGAAAACTTCCCTGGCATCCTGGGCAAGAAAAGCTAAAATCTATTGCAACTAGAAATGTGACAGAAGAGTCAAGATTCTCGTGTATTTCTGTAAACTCATAAAAAGGACAATTAATGAGACAAGTTATACTCAACCTCTGGTGGATAGTACTATCTAAGGCTTCCCTTGTGGCTCAGCTGGTAAAGAATCCACAGGCAAGGTTGGAGACCTGGATTTGATCCCTGGGTTGGAAAGATCCCCTGGAGAAGGGAAAGGCTACCCACTCCAGTATTCTGGCCTGGAGAATTCCAGGGACTGTATAGTCCATGGGATCACAAAGAGTCGGACACCACTGAGCAACTTTCACTTTAACTTTGGGGTGTCCCTGATGGCTCAGATGGTAAAGAATCTGTCTGCAATGCAGGGGACCCAGGTTCAATCCCTGGGTCAGGAAGAGCCCCTGGAGAAGGGAATGACAACCCACTCCAGTATAGCTGCCTGGAGAATTCCATGGACAGAGAAGACTGGCGGGCTTCAGTTCATAGGGATCACAAAGGGTCAGACAGGACTGAGTGACTAACACTTTCACTTTAACTATCTAAGAGGTCGTTATCATTTACACCCAGGAGAGGACAGGGGAAGGGAAGGGTCAGACACAAGGACATGAAGACCAAAGACCTCAGGGAATAGTAGAACCTCCAATCTAATTAAGGTTCTGAATTTCAGAAATAGTGGAAATACAGGAAATATTTAGAAAGAAGACCTCAGCAAAGTAAAATCTTGAATATGTAAGAGAACTTGAATGTGGTTAAACTCAAATGGAACAGCAATAGGTAAAGGTGAGCTGTCCTGTGATGCTATTCAAAGGACAGCCAGTTCCTGGAAGAGATGCGTTTCTCTTCCAGCCTTCCCTCCACTACAAGCTACAGCCCAGAGGTGAAAACCAACCAGAAGACTTACACAACCTTGACACAGCCCCGTTACAGCTGACCACAGAGGCATCCATTAAAAGGTACACACAGGAAAGTAAAGAAAAGTGTACCAGGCAAGAGTCATGAAGATACACTGCAGCGCAAGGAGAACTGAAAGACTCCCCAAACACAGCAACTAGCATCAATCCACTCAAGAGGAACTGAAAAAATAAACAATAATAATTTGGGGAATATAAAGTACAAATTTATTTAATTTTATATTTTACAACACTTAATTCAACACCAGTAACAGGAATTAATACAGAGAGATAAAAGATGTTAAGCATCTTATTTATAAGCATAGAAAAGTGATAGTTTCAAAGAAGTTTGTTTCTATCCAAAATAATCTATATTGGGCATTGAATTATGATCTCTAAAGAAATGAAAATTAGAAATTGGGTAAGAGTGTTTTCTCTATTACTTACTTCTGTATTTTCTATAGATTTAAAGTATCCTTCCTTCTCCCACCTAGGTGGGTCCAAGGCCTGGACCTCCACCCTTTCAGGTTCATTCCTTTAAGTTCAGCATCATCCTTGTCATCCTCTCCTCTGTCTTCTCTTTATGTACCTCTAAGAAATCAACATTAAGTCCTTAAGTATGATCCTCTAGATAGAGGCTTTCAAATTTTTGACCACAATATAAGAAACACATTCTACATATGGAGCTAGTACATACCGCCCGCAGAAAAATATTATACCAATAAACCTACTTGGAAGTTTCTCAAAACATTTACCCTTACTACATATGATAGACTGATTTTTCTCCATTGTACTCCACCTTATTTTAAGGCTGGTGATCCAAGTATTAGGTCAGAACTCAGTCTGAAATGCTTAGTAGAGAAAGTAACACTGACAATACCTTACTAAGTAGCAACATAAGGAAGCAGATAAGAGATCTGTCTTTAGTCTGCCAGGATTCAAACACCAGCTCAACCACTTGAAGCTGTCAATCTCTCTGACTCTGCTTCCTTATCATGGGGTAAAAGAACAGTGCTTACCTCAAAAATGAAGGTTAACCCAGACCACACATATAAAGCACTTGGAGCATGAAAAGTATTCAATTAATGTGTATTAATAATTCTTAAATGGTCTGTGAGTTTTTATTGTGGTAAAAGATATACATAACACTCATCATCTTAACCATTTTAACATGTGCAATTCAGAGGCATTTAGTACACTCACAATGTGTGCAACCATTAAAACTCTATAATCCCAGAACACTTTCATCGTCCCAAAAGGAAACCTAGAACCCGTTAAGCAGTCTCTCCCCATCTCACTCTCCTGCCCAGGCCCTGTTGGGCAGTGTGACGATTAGATTCTCCCTAATCGGATTTCTCTTCCTAGGTCCACAGACTTTTTAAATAATAAATTAACAATTGGCTAGAATCATTTTCTTAGGTAGAATGAAGTGTTCTTTACAGTCATTAGTTCTATGGCTCATGAAACAAACCTCTACGAATCATTTAAGTAAATATTTTTGAGACACTTAAGGTAATTCTGTGACCTGCCTCAGAGTCAGAAATCGCTCTCTCTATGAATTCTATTAGGGCAAGATTTCCAAAGCTTGACCAAGTGTACAGGACGTTTTCAGTGTCCACAAGAGGCAGAATGAGCAAGGCCTTGAGAAAATGTTTCTACATTACATCGTGGAATATCACCAAATCATAGAATATTTACCAAAGGAAGAATGTTTATTCTTCAGTCTTTGCATTTTGAAATTCTGTATTCGAGGCTCCAAACGTTTACCAACATTGGGTAAAAAAAGTAAACATGGACACAGAACTAGATACCCATGTCTTGGCTTTAGGATGTACTGTCATTTCCTTTTTGGACCTCACCCGTCTCACATGATTTCCCACCCTTCCTTGGCGGGGCGGGGGGCGCTAGGGGGGAGACCAGTGCAAAAATAACTGTTTTTCCCAGAATCAATTAAGGGAGTCTCCAGAAACTTGACGGGGGAAATAACCTAACCCGGGAGGTAACCTTGCAAAGCAGCTCTGTTATTCTTTGAGAAAAGGAGACGGCAGAAGGTTTCTTGGGTCAAAGAAACAAAAGTCACCAAGAGGTACAGAAGATGTGAACTGGAAAACAACGTCCTTAGTCCCACCTGTGTAAGTCAGAGCTTTTTTTTTTTTTTTTAACTCTCCGTTTTTTTTAATTTGACCAACACCCCTCACCCAGAAAACAGGCAGCGAAGTCCTCTGTTATTTCCACTCCGACCCTGCACCCTTGCTTTTCAGCCTCCTGGGCAAAAGCCTGACCCTCCCCTGGCGCGGAGAGCACTGGGTCAACCCTGTTCCTTTGGGATGGGGGATTGGGCGGGGGGGGGTGATACAGGGACTCCGGGTCTCACTGCCCAGAAAACTTCCCCAACTCCCAGGGAGACGCTTTCCTGCTCTGGGGTTTGCGGAGTGGGATAGGAAAAGGGGAGAAGGCTTTAAGCAGCAAACTAACCCAAGAAACTTCACACCTCAAACTCCGGGAAAGCCTGTACCCAGAGCTATATCCAGTTCTGGGGAAGTCCTGAGCTAGAGGGACCTCGATGTGAACAAAACAGAACTATGACTTTCGCAAGAGCCGGGTGCCCTGGCAAGTCAGCGAAAATGAGGGTCCCCGAGGCTTCCCCGGCGCTCCTAACACACGAAGCCAAGACTTCATCCCAGACCTACCAAAAAATGAGACCTCAAAAGCAAGGAAGACTTAGAAGCCATCACTTCCAGGAGCCCAGATGCACGTTCCTCAGGTATCCGACCCTGGACGTTCAGGCTCCCGCCCGGGGGCGTAAGGAAGCTCGGTAACCGTGGTCCCGCCAGCCGAGGCTGGAAGAGAGGGCTGAGTGCAGCCAGTGGGGAGGACACCGCGAGGACGGCTACAGACAGGCCCCGGGGGGAGAGGCCGCTGACTCTCCAGGAGCCCGATATGAGTCCCATCCAGGCCCCTGTCCTCGGCCCGTCGCTGGGCCAGGGCCTAGGGCGGGCTTCGGCAAGTGCCAGCATTCGGCTTCCTCCGCCAAGAGTGAGCAACTCCGGAAACTTCCCCGAGCCGGCGCGGCGCTACCCGCGGCCACCTCCCCCGTACCCTGCAAGCCGGCCGGCCAGCGAGCACACTGACCTGAGATGGTTTCCTGGTAGCCCTTGGTGAAGAACTGCATGGCCGTGGCCGCCCTCCAGGGCGTCTTGATCAGCCCCTGCCGCTCGGGGTCCTCTCCCAGCGAGCGCAGGATGGACGAGTAGGCGGCCGCCAGGTTGGGGAGGTTCAGCTCGTTGTCCTCCTCGCTGCGGGGCCGCTCGCCCCTCCAGCCGTCCGCCGGCTGGGCGCTCTTGCTCTCTGGTCGCGGCGGCTTCTCGGCGGGAGGGCTTGGCCCGGGCCGCGGCGGCTCCCCCTCGAGGAACCCATTGCTGCACCTGGCGCCCCGCGACTTCAGCGTCACCCGCCCCGGACCCTTCTCCATGGACCCGCCGCTGCTGCTCCGGAAGGACCCTCAGATGCGTGAGGGACTTCAGGTGAACTTCCCGGGCGGGGAGTGGGCTATGACCCGAGTCACCTGAGGAAGGTAGGCCTCGAGCCAGCAACACGTTCCGAGTCCGGAACAAGCGAGCCAGAAGAGTGCTGCGGCTCCTCCTTTTTATGGGCTGGCGGCTCGGTCGGCGCCGCGGGGCGTTTCTATTGGTCGAGCCTCCTGGCGTCACGGCGCTCACTCCGCCCCGCCCCGCCCCGCCCCGCCCTCCGCCCGGTGCCCTGGGGGCCGGCAGATGCCGGGAGGACCTTGTCCGAGCCCCACCCGCACCAGCCGGGAGGATTGGACTGGACCCTTTGGCTGTGGCCAGATAAACCAAACCCTAAAGGGGGCTGAGCGTGGGGAGGCAAGGTCTGAGTGCCCAGTCAACTCTTCCCTCTTAGGGCAAAGAGGAGGCTGCATGAGAAGTGTCCTGGTCCCCTCGTTCTGTCAAAGATGAGCAAACAGGTGGCCTTGTCCGGGAAATTGTGGGTATGGAAACCAACTCATACTTTCAGGTCAAGAGAATAATATGAATTGAAACGCTTGATTTCGTTAGTTAAAAAGGTGTCCAACGCACCTGCTTCCTGGCGCTGTAAGAAATAATGTTACACCAAGTGGCCCTTAAGTGAGTCACTATATCTAGGAGGATGGTATTATGTGGTGGCCAGAACTTTGACCCTTCAGAAATTGATTAGCAAGCGAAGAAAAACTAGGGCTTTCATCAAAGAACCATTTGCGGTTTGTGGAAACCCAATTGTAGGAACTTGGTGCTGATTATTTTAACAGTGACGTGCTAAGTACCTTTCCCCTGATGTTGCTAGAGATTGTGAAACGTTATTGATCAACTGGACTCTTAACCAGTGACATCTGCTTTGACTGTGTAAGATTTTTTAAATGGACCTTTTTTTCTCATTAGGGGGATTATTTCACAATGCCAAAGGTGAGTTTTAAAACATGTATCAAATTAATATTTTATGATTTGCTCCAGAGAGTTTCTTATGCTGAATTTCTGACATATAGACAGATATTTAAAGGCTTAGGATCAGACACACTAGCAGGGAAGTCCCTGGAATTGATATATAATAATAAATTGGCTCAGTCATTATTACTAATTTCTATTTATTGGATGTCTGCTTCAGGCATGGCCCTGTTCTAAATTTTAAGGAAAGAAATATGGGAAATACCTAGCCTCCCAGGAACTTTTAGTTTGAAATATTGGTGTAAGTGGGGTTTTAAAAAATAGTTATTGGACTTCTATGTACATTAAATATCAAATTATACTGATCAAGAAATATGAACCTCCCTTGGAAAGCCTCTTTGTCACTCTCCTACTATTTATTGTAAGTGCCCCACACACCCCTGCAAGATCCTATAAAATTTTTTCCCTCTAACTGCTCTGCCCACTATTATCCACTGAATCTCAAACTATTTCAAGCTGGAGACATTAAAAGATGACCTTGTATTTAACAAATGAAAACAAAGATACCAAGTGAAGTATTTTTTAAATGGAGGGATTCAAAGAAGATGCTGTCCATAAGATTTTTTTTTCAGTAGCCCTTGTAAAGATTAATATATTTCCCAAAGCAATTTCTAATGAAATTTTTATCCTAAAAATGAACGTTTTCTTATAAACACTGCCACTAGGCATTAGCACTTTTGTTACCAATTACCATTACAAGGTGTTTGGATTTGTTATATATTTACTTGTAAAATGGAGGCCATGCATTTCAGCCAAATGCCCAAAGGTAATACAAGGAAGCTTTAAAATCACGAACACTATACAAACAGTTTAACAGTGAAATGTAGGTAGTTGGCAGAGATGGTTATCAGTAGAAATGGGAGAAGAGGGAATAAATTAAAAGAGGAGGGCTATATTCCACAGAATTAATTAGTATAAAATGGTTTAGCAGTGAAACTATAGGCGTTCACAGCCAGGAATTACAACAGCATTTGTTTTAAACCCAACAAGCAACTCATTTTCACCTTGGACTCAACCTGGGAGTTGTTTTTGTTGTTGTTCAGTCACTCAGTCATGTCTGACTCTTTGCTACTCTTTGCAACCCCATGGACTGTAGCACGCCAGGTTTCCCTGTCCTTCACTGTCTCCCAGAGTTTGCTCAAACTCATGTCCATTGAGTCAGCAATGCCATTCAACCACCTCATCCTCTGTCGCCCCCTTCTCCTCCTGCCTTCAATCTTTCCTAGCATCAGAGTCTTTTCCAATGAGTCGGCTCTTGTGGCCGACTCATCAGGTGGTCAAACTATTGGAATTTCAGTTTCAACATCAGTCCTTCCAATGAATATTCAAGATTGATTTTCTTTAGAATTGACTGGTTTGATCTTCTTGTTGTCTAAGGGACTCTCAAGAGTCTTCTCCAGTACCACAGTTTGAAAACATCAGTTCTTTGGTGCTCAGCCTTCTTTATGGTTCAACTCTCACATCTGTACGTGACTACTAGAAAAACCATAGCTTTGACTAGACAGACCTTTGTCAACAAAGTGATGTCTGGGAGTTGCCTTCTATCAAAAAGCCAAGGAATTTTTTCCTTTTTTAAATTCTCCCATTTCTAGGGCAGTAGTAAAACAGAGAAGCAAACAAGTGAGATACATGGCACCAAAGGTTGAAAATACCGCAGGGCTACAGACATATGTAGTCACTTGCCAAGGGTAACAGGTAAACTAACATTAGGCATTTGACAATGGTAATTGGAAAAAAAGTGAATTTCTCTAAGTGTACTTGATGGAAATTTTTTATTTGAAATCCAAACTTTGGAGGAAATTCTGGATCAGGATGGACATAGATAATAGCAAGATAAAAAAACATAATAAGATGGACACAAGAAAAGTGTCTTTGTTCCGCCCCTAATTTCTAGAAGTTAGCCTATGGAGTCAGTGCAATCCTGAGATGTCTCATTAAATCCCCAACATGTAGGGAGAAGCAAAGTGAATGGAGGCCCTTACATTTCTTCTGTTCTGAATGAGGAGGAACGGAACAAGAGAGAAAACAGGAGAATGTGAACCCCGAACGGACTTTCTGAGATGGAAGGGAAGGCTTGAGGGCAACCTCACTGAGTTGAGAAGGCCATCTCCAGCCTGAAAGTACCTCACAGTGGGAGAATAGGTTTGCCCCGGACAGTCACCCGTGCTTGCTTGTTGTCGTTTAAATGTTCAGTTGGGTCCAACTCTTTTACAACCCCATGGACAGCAGCCCACCAGGCTCCTCTGTCCATAGGATTCTCCAGGCAAGAATACTGCAGTGGGTTGCCATTTCCTTCTCCAGGGGATCTTCGCAACCCAGGGATCAAACTCACGTCTGTTTTGTCTCCTACATCGGCAGACAGGTTCTTTACCAGTAGCACCACCTGAAAAGCCCAGGACCCTGGTAGAGGATCTTTAATACCATCTCGGAAGAAAGGGCAGATGCTAAATAGAGAATTGTTAATGGGGAGTCCAACCACCACAGCTGAATTCTGTCCTAACTGTCACAATCCCTCACAGAAAAAGAGATATGACACAACCTCCTCCAGCCCCAAACTGTGGCAGAGTCAGAAAAACAAACAGGTCTGCTGTAACAGAAAACACAAAAAAGTCATCCTTGATAATATGAGGTGTGGATAGGAGGCAAAGAAGCAGCAAACATACAATCCCCAGAGGAACAAAACTAAACAAAGAAAGGTAATAATGTAACATGTAAAAGCTACATACAAAAAAAAATGCAACAGAAAAGACAAACTCATTTATAGAGTTTAGAAAATAGAAGAAAATTCCTCACAAATGATTTTGTGTGATTGGTGTAATATGGACACTCAAGGCTGGGCAGACTGGGAGCATCCAGGAGTTGAGTAGGTGGCAAGATGGGTGGGTCACCGGCCCACACCTGGCCCCAGGAGGGGATGCTGGAAGGTGGGGGCAGGCCCAGGTATGCCAAGGGAAGTACCAGAAGGGTGGCCTAGGCAGCCAGCCAGACACACCCTCCACCCTCAGAGATCTGTAGGCCAGCCTTGAGAAAGTATCAACTCAGGTGGTGAGTGCTCAGGCCTGAGCCTGCCTCAGAGAGGCAGGGTTGGGGCCTGGCTGGGGGATCCCAGAGCTTAGGGGCTGGCATCACTGGGGGCTTCCTCAGTTGGAATCAAGCAGTTCCTGGGGGCAGACTTGGAGGTGGTCGTTTTTCTCCTCCAGGTAGTCCAGACAGGTGTTGATCTGGTCCAACATGGAGTTGATGGTAGCTTATTCTGCTTGCCCAAAGCCCCCTCCTCACCTGCCACACACCCCTCTACTTGCATGCCCAGGTCCATGTTAGGGCTGACATCGCAGGCTCAGGCACCACAAGGGCAAAGTGACAATAAAACACAGACACTGTTAGGCAGATAGCCCGTGTGGGGCAGAAAGTGAAGGCTCACAAATGTTCTCTGCTACAGAACAACTTAATAAAAACATGAGTTCAATAAGACAAAAACCAAGATAAGAAAATGATAGAATTGAAAAAGGAGTGGCAGATCTAAGGAAAAAGAAGACCATCATTATTATAGGATTAATTAGAAAGAAAGTGAAAGTCACTCAGTCATGTCTGATGCTTTGTGACCTATGGACTATACAGTCCATGGAATTCTCCAGGCCAGAATACTGGAGTGAGTAGCTTTTCCCTTCTCCAGGGGATCTTCCTAAGCCAGGGGTCAAACTCAGGTCTCCTGCATTGCGGGTGGATTCTTTACCAGCTGAGCCACAAGCGAAACCAAAGAATAATGGAGATGGTAACCTATCCCTTCTCCAGCAGATCTTCCCTACACAGGAATTGAACCAGGGTCTCCTGAATTGCAGGTGGATTCTTTACCAACTAAGCTATCGGGAAAGCCCAGTTAGAAAGAACCATGTACAAAATAGACACTGTTGAAAATGTAATTATTGACATGAAGAACAGCATGAAAATGAGTGCAGAATAAAAGATAAAGATG